CTAGCCAGGTCGAGGCGAGGAGCACTCTGCTGGGCGTTCATGACACTGCGGGGCCCTTCGCCGCGCCCAGAGATCTGCATACCGGTCAGTTCATATACGTCGACTGCACGGAGGAGGAGAGGGCCATGCTGCCCACGACCATCGGATCACAGTTCGAGGCGGAGCGTGCTCTGGCCGAGCTGAGGACCGTGAGTCGCGTCGTCGGTGATCCGCGTGATTCCGAGGAGTACACGTACTGGGAGACATCCTCGCATGACACTCTCGCCTACGCCTTTTACAGCGTGCCGGATCAGTACAGGAATGTCCCAGCAGTGAAGTCCGCCTCGCGCATCTTCGACCAGATCCCCGACGGCCAGCTTGTACGACCGGACAAACCGGAGCCTGCGGTTCTCCGCCTCAGCGCGGTGAAAGGCACTGATGACACCCGGAGGAACCTCGAGAGGCTGAAGGAGGAGTCCATCAAGAAGAACGTGGTCATCCTCGGCGCCAGGAGAGGCGAAGATATCGCCCCCAGGATCGGAAACACGATCACAACTCTGTGCGCCAAAATCGGAGACATTGCCCGATTCCTGGAGATGGGAGTGAGATCCAGAGCAGGGCCTATTCTCCCGACCAGGAGTGATCCTGACCTGATGATCCAGGCAATTGTTCCCGCACCCGAGGAGCTTCTGGACTACTTCGCCGACGAGATCCGTCAGAAGGTGAAGGGTAGAACGGGTGCCTCTTCGCACTATTTCAGGAGAGCATGCGCGGAAATACGCGACGCGCTCCGCGGAACAGCTGTGCAGCCTGGAAATGCAGGTGCAGTCAAGGACCCAGAGTTGGAGGCCTCGTCTGCCAGCGGGCAGGGGAACGTTACTTCGGTGATACAACTGAAGAAGTTCCTGAACCACTATTTCGGGACCAGCGTCGAGTCTGAGGATGCTTTCTCTACGTACCTCCTGTCCTCCTTTCTCGAAGATGGGGTGGGAATGTTCGAGATCGTCATCACCGTCATTCGTGACAAGGAGCGTCGGTTGCTGCCTGGTTCCGCCCGCATAGCGGCGGTAAGGTCGCTTGAGATCGGATCCGACACTGATTATCGGGCATTCCGTGAACGATATCAATACATGCTCTACGAGAGCCCTGTTTGTCTTCCTATCACCTCCAAGGTGGTTCCCAAGACACTCTACATGGTGGTGCCTCTCCGGATGTATCGGCTCTACGTAGAACGTGGGGCGATCATCCGTGGTGGGCGAGCTCTGATCGAGCTCCTTCCCTCTCGGCCGGATGAATATCAACCCCTCCGTGATCACGGAGAGTGCCCCAACGACACTGCCGACCGCATCACCGGCAGCAATGTGACGGAGCTGCACACATCGGGTCGACGCCAAAGGAGCGATCCCCGATATGTGGTCATGGCTATCGATGCACGTTTCTTCTCCATGGAAAATGGGGGCATGCATATCACTCGTCAGGGTACCTTTGCATCGCGCGAGAACATCGCGATCGGGTACTGGAGATGCGTCTACTTCAAGGAGGACTGCTCCATCATTTACATGAGGCCCTGGTGCTATCCGCCCAACTTCCTCAACCTCGTGAGTGATAACCCGAGGAAGTGTCGGGAGGAGATGGAGAAGTATCACCAGGTCACCAAGACGGAGCATGTCCGCGAGGTGGTGTCCGTTCCATGCCACAGGTGCATGACGGCCCACCCGGTCGGCGCTCACCTGTGCACCGCTTGCTACCTTCCTATCTTCTATGAGGGCGTCCTGCCCACCGGAGACACGAACGGCGGCCCTCGCACGATAGCGAGCACCGACGGGGTGATTCCTCCCTGGCTGGCGAAGTACGAGGGCTTCGTCCCCGCTCTGTGGAACAACGCAGACGCCAACGCCATCGGAATGGCCCTATACTCGCAGAGTCCCGCCGTCGATGCCCGGTCCTTGCTGATGTCCGGGATGCGGCCTCCTAAGTACCTTGACAAAGAGGACGTGGATGGCATTTTCCGAAAACTTCACGACTCGCTACGAAACGAAGTCCTTGACGGCAAGTACCGTGACACGGTCGACCACAACGTGGAAGAGTGGGTAGCAAAGGCGATCTTGGTAAGGGGTCTTGCCTTCAACGGGAGCTCTGTCTCCGACTTCTTCGAAGAGTATGAGGGATATGCGGCTGAGTGGGGCAGACGCCTAACCACCGCAAACTTCAATGCCAACCGGTGCGGCTTTTACACGTCCTATTACATTCTTGAGGCCCATATCATTGGGCTGAGATCAGGACATCTTTCTCCGATACTCCCCAACGATGTGTCTGGGGAGGGATTCAAGTTCCAGGTGGGGCTGCTCGCTCAGCACTGCGGGATATTGCAGGCCATGCGGAGAAAGGCCGGGTTCGATCCTGCCGCGCGCCTCAAGCGGGCTATGGACACGATTCGGGAAGGCGTTAAGAAGGGGTACGTCTACACCCTCAACGACCTCAGCAGTATGGACGATCTGATCTACCGGACGTCCACCGTCGCCTACGACACCTGCCTGGCCGACCGTCCTCAAACCCAGGATGACATCAAACAGGAGCTGTCCGATCCTGTACCAAGGAAGTACCGCTTCCGACCCCGCGATCGCCATCGACCCGGAATTCGCCTTACACCAGGCCCCGGAGTGAAGGACGAAGATGAGCCCGACTTTGCTGGATCAGCGGAGGAGGAGCTGGGATCGGATGGTTCATCCCACGAAGATGACGATAAGTCTGATGACCTGGACGAGCCCATGGGCGAAGACGAGGAGGAGATCCCTCCCCCTCCGCCACCGCCCCCGGCTCCTCCTGCGCCGCCTGTCCCGGTAGAACCGGAGACCCCCGTGGTGTCGCATGCAGGCGTCAGTTCTATCGGTGCTGTGCCAACTCCTCCTCCTCCTCCTCCCGCTCCCATTGCGACAGGCGTTACAACGACTGGGGATCCGTTTGAGGAAGAGGACATGGCCGTCAATACTCGTGTCCCTGACACCGAGTCCGAGCTGGAGGGTGAATTTGAAAAACCCAAGGCCAGGAGGACATCTCGTGGGTCCCCGCGCCCGAAAAAGGGCAGGGGGGCGTTCAGGTCCCGCCTGGTGGGCAACCCAGCTCTAAGAGCATGGCTCAGCCTGCCCGTCCATCCCCGGTCCCCGCGAGAGGCGGTGTGGAAGGTGGGGAGAGAAGGGGCAGAACCAAGGGTTTCTACACCCAGAAGGACCCTTTTACTGGCGAGGACGCGACTCCCCGAGTTCGTCTTCGATCGGGCGGTCCCGGAACTCCTGCGTCCCCACCACGGGATGCCACCGGTTCCTTGGGCGGCCATGGCGGCTATGACCCGCGCGATGACGACAACGATGAGTGGGAGCTTCCCCCGGGTGTGCCTCGGACCACTCGTGCGGCAAATGAGTCGCGGCCCCGCCGAGATGACGATCGGTCAAGGACCGCGCTTGGGGCCCGCGAGGATCGTCGCGGCCCTAAGGGTGAGGGGAAGGGTCGAGGAAAACATCGACCTGGCAAAGGTGGACGCGAGGATCCTGGCCCGCCCCGACAAAGGGATGATCGTGGCAGGGATACCCGCGGAGGCCGACGCGATGATCGCCGACCTCCTCCACGTCATGAGGAGACCTCCGAGAGGCGCGGTCCGGGGCGAGATGAGCGCCGCGGACGTGATGACCCGGGTGATGACCGTCGCGATCGCCACCGGGACCGGCGCAGGGATGACCGACGTCACCAATCAGATCCCCCTCCGCCTCGCCGACCTCCGGCTGGCGACCACAGTAGGGGTGGTGGTGAGGATCGCCGTCGGGATGGAGGAGGTGATCGAGGTGACCGCGGTGGACGCCGGAGAGACGACGCGCCCAGAGACCGGGAAGAACCTGGTTCAGGGTGGTAGGCAGGTACCGCAATCAGCATCCGCCTTAGAAGGGCGAGGATGGCACGTGTGTCGCCGACAAACGCGACCGCGCCGGTCCTCCTCTCGCCCATGCGGCACTGCTGGGGGTGATGGTCTCCATTGCCCTGTACCGCTGATCCGGCGTTGTTCGTGTCCCTCCCGCACCGCTGCCGTGCGCGCCGGAGACGGTTCCCCTGGCGATCCTGTGTGAGGCTGTGACCGCACTAGAAGTGCCGGGCCGGCCGTAGCCGGATATTTTCACACCAATTTCGGAACATCCTTCTCTTCTTTCCTCCCAACTCGTTTACTCCTCCAACCACTTCACGGCGTGCAGCGAGGCGCGGTGATCCAGATAGGATCCCCCTCCGCATGTTGTTGTCCCATGACAATGCATGAACGGCACGAGAGGAATCTTCGTCTGGTTCCTCCATGATGTCTTTGTTCACTCATGTGGCCCACTCGTCAAATAATCCTGTCGCCCCGCTAATTCGGGGTGGTGGCGGGATTTTAACTGGGGCCCAGGTGCTGCCGTTTGGCTCACCTCTGAGTTGACACCGGCATTTTTGGTTGGTCCCTTTCGTCGTGAACTCAACTGTCTCGCATCCTTTCTCTCGTCCAGATATCGGATGAGGGGGGTGTGTTTTGTTCACGTGTTGTTTCTTCATATGGCAAAACGGCCGAATGGCCGTTTGGCTCAAGTTTAAACCTCCCGTCAGGGGTCTCTCGGATTTGCGTGCATCCGCCATAGCACGGCGGCTTGCGTCACCATCGGGAAAAGGTCCTGGTGCTGCCGCGGCTGGTGTTAGGTGGTGGGTGGCTGGTCGTCGAGGACTTCCTGGGCCTGGTTCTGAACTTCAATTTCTGTTGTAACCTGTTTTCCAACCCTCCCAAACTTGATCTTCTTCAGCTGTCACTCCCTCAACCTGGTCATCAGCAACTTCACCATTGTGCGTTGGGACTGGGTTCTTTTGGTACTTCGTGAATCACGTGTACCTCTTTGATTCCCTGGGCTACTTCGTGTTCGCCCAAAACTGCACTTTGGAAAGAAAAGCGGCCTCAACGTCGGTCAGCAATTGTTGGGTTTGGAGCTTGCGTGAACTTCGCCGTCGTCCCTGAGGGCCTGCGAGGAGACCGGGGACGCAGTGAATGAGGACCACAACGCTTCGCGCCTTCCCGGCGCCTGCCCGGTGCAGTTCAACACCAACGGACCGGCACCCTGCCATAGGTTTGGCGTTGGCGAGTCATTCCACAGGTTGGCAAATGCCAAGAAGAGCGACTACAGTGATGTCGGGCTGTGAAAAGAATAAAAAAGACATGTCTGCACTTTGAGGGCAGAGAATCCCTCTATTGTCGAGAAGCACATGATGTAGCAGCAATTTCTCCGCTGACGAGCTGCCCTGCCAGATTCTTTTGATCAAACCGGTACATGGGGAGAGGGTATCAGTTCGAAGCCGCCAGGTGCGTGCTGAAAGTTGTTGTTTCCATTCCCCAGCCCCCTACCAACCGGCTGCTTCAAGGCAGAGCTCGCAATCGACCTGTCAGTGCTGTCATCACGTTTGTGCCTTTGCGGCTGAAAACCGCGCCTTCTTGAACACTTTCAAGGAAGTGGCTTGATTTAGCCAACACTCGGTGGAAAGAGTAAACAGTAAAGCTTGCGTAGGTTGAAGATGGGGCAGTCTTGTTCTGAACGAAGGCCCAAAGTGAATCAGTGAATTAGTTTGCTCGCTGTGAATTGTGCAGAGACATGCGCGGGGTGGTATCGGTGATTAGGGAACCAAGGTGACTCGCTACACGCGTATTCGGTTTGTTCGAGATTGTCTTACACGGGCAATTCAAGGAACTGATGCCGGACAAGCCCATTAGCAATCCGGGTGTTTGGCATTGGGAACGTGTCACTCAGTTTCAGTTTCTATTCACTGTGAAAATAGAGAGATTTATTATATATTCTTCAGGTAAGGAGAAGAAGAGAAGGAACCCATACCCAGCTGAAGGGCCTTCACCATCTCGAAACCGCGAGCCGCATCCAAGGCCGGCGGACGAGAGGACTGCTTCAGCGCCTTCATAGAGCCGCTGCTCAGGCGGGTTGTGACGACGCATGGCTCATGTCTCTTATTAGCAGGAGCTGTAAACCAGGATTGTCCACAGCGTTTCCTTTCAGCATGTGCGTTCAATCCCAGCAAACTGGGCAGGTTACCAGGTTACCACTTTCAGACAGGACAGTTGATTTGTTTGTGTTGAGTTGACGTGGTTCAATGGCAGGCTCGGCTTTTTTGTGCATGCTGAGCTGAAAGAATAGAATTGAACCAGCCTCAAGGCCAGCCTTGATGAATGGCGGCGCAAGTGCGTGCCCATTGTTCCAAGATGTTCGTGATATTGCCTGCCACAAGGTTTCCCAGATGCTCGAAAACGCATTTCAATGAATGTACAAACATCGCGTTAGCTTTCGATCATACATGTGCTCACTGCTGGTGACCTTTTAAGGCCTTCTGTGGCGACCAGGTCCAGCGGCAAACCCATGAAACTGCCAAAAGAGTTTTCTCTCGACATGGATGTGTTTGGGGTTCCATGTTCCTTATGGGCGTGATGCTTTATGCATCCTCTCCTTGAATTGCGAGAAATACATGGAACACACGAATCTCGTATATTCCTTAGGTTGGGCTACTAGAAAACACCTGGGGTCCAAGAGCCCATCGACCGGAGTTCGCCAGCCAGCACCCCCCCCCCCTGTCTCAGGTGGTATCCCAAGCTACGTGTCGCCAGTGAGACCTACTGCCGCAAGTTGCTCTTGGACTCTTCCCCGCAGGCGCGGTGGGGCGCTCAGTGGTGTCAATTTTGATGGTTTGCATATTTGGAATTTGGTCAAGATGCACGCGGGTGTTCTTTGTACCCGCCAAGCTTTCCTATTGCAATGGCTTATCCGTTGTTGAACCCGGAGTGCGCCGTTGGTTGTTCCCCAAAAGAGGTAACAGTGGGTTCTTCTTTGAAGATTCACCAGTTACTTGCAAATAGCCAGCAAGAATGTGCGCAAACAACGCTGAGCAAACAACTGCTTTCAAAGGGCGGATTTCACCAGGACCCACCCTTGAGCCCACGTCACGCCATTGCTTTCCTGTATGTACTTTGGCTTATGGATGCCTGGACTATTCATGGCTGAAGTAGCGGTCCAAACGCTTCTGCTTCGCAGCATGTGATCAATTCGCAGGCAAGGCTCCAAGTCGGATTGACTCGTTTGGCATCCCGGTCCTTACGGTCCCATATGGTCCCCATGGCCTCGACCTTTTGCCTCGCTCGGCCAGGTGCGCGCCACAGGCGTGGAGCTGGAGCTGCGCGGAGGGGAGATCATCCAGGTGAAGTGCAGGCCTGGCCTCACGCGCTGCGTGCTGTTCCAGTGAACCGCTCAAAGCGGTGGCGTATGCAGCAAAGAGGTTCAACATGCCTCAACAGTGGAGATGGTTGAGACGGCTGCTAGATGCATGGATGGCCTTTTGATACGGAGTGGTCATCCAAACTACGGGTCAATGTTGGTTTACCCTCTCAATGTGCTCGAAATTTGCCTGAAATCACGCAGTTCTACTGTTCTACCGCCATGGGCTCAAACTAATCTCAGGTTCCGTACGCCAAGGTTGAATTATCATAGTGCTTATGTGGTTTGAAATGAGTGCTTTTTTTGCCCAATCACGATCACCGAGGTCAAATTTGGAGTTGCTGTGTATTGTATAGTGTCAGGTTGTTGCCGTACATCTAAGTTACTTCTGTGTGACATTGAGAAATCCTGGTCCGCCACTCCTAAACATAAATGGCCCCCCCCCAACAATGAACAAAGCAACTGGGGAGACGAGCCCTGTTGGGCGAGCCCTGTTCCAGAATTGGGCTGCCAACTTCTGCATCTTCACTGTGAACGTACACACACACACACACACGGTCATGTCATGAGCCAAGAAACGTACCGAAATAGAGGATGCAAATCCACACAGCAACCTGTTGTTGCTTCAAAGATTGCAAATGCTGACAGAGGGCCCCAATTCAGTATTTAGTATTCGGCACGCTGGGATTTTAATGCTGCCTGATTGTGGTTTCATGCGTACATGGATTCCAATTGAGCCGCAGAAAAGGCCGACCAGAATTGGCTCCAGAAAATGGTACTTGCTGTGCCGAGGCATCCTGGTCAATCATGTTGAGTCGTGCAACTACAAAGCTAGTTTCCTTGCTTGGCATTTTGTTCGGCCGTTCGGAAACAATTTGGTCGTTTGGCGCGAACCCACGCGACGTTGTCTGACTTGTCCTATCACTCACTATGCTTTCTCGAGCATACCGACTACCTCTAGACTCTAGACATCTCTAAACAAATCACGGCATCCATGCTGAATTCAGTTGTTCCCCTTCATTCGTGCACTCATGCTGTATTCCTTGGGCAATCCTAAGTGTGGGAAAGAGAGTCCACCCAGAAAACTCCTGAAAGAAGAGAAGGAGATAAAATACCAACTCTTTCCTCTGGTCAGCTCCTCACCAGCAAATGAACAGAGATGCTGTGAGAAGAGAATAGTGGCCAGGGCATGCTCTCCCTTCCATCGCATGCTCAAGACCCAAAGGCCGCATGGACAAGGTGGAGGCGGTAGAACCCTTTTCCTTCTCTCCTCGCTCTTCCTCACTCTTCTCTGAGTTTTACCGAGTGAATGAGCGAAGTGACAGAGAGAAGGGAAAAGGAAAGAGATAGCATATTCTTGGAGTTTGTTGTTGGTTGAGGAAGAGAAAGGACACAGCTCCCATATTAAAGTGACATCTCTGTCACCTCTCAATCATATCCTAGTTGTTCCTCGGTTCGGAGGCGAGAGGTCATCCTATGCGCTGGGGCGCTGAACACCCCACAGCTACTGAGACTCGGCGAAGCACAAATCGTGAGGCCTGGGTCCGGATTCTCGTGCTGCTGCAGAATTCAATTCTTGCAAACCGGTGGGTCCTTCGGTCCTTCGGATGCAGCATGTTTAGTTGTTTCCCTTCTGTTTCGTCCCACGATGCGCTCCAAGCATAGATGTGCACCTTGATCAGTGGCCGGACCACTTCGACCAACAAATCAGAGTTGCAGGATTATGGAGGCCTCAGCAAAATTCTAAGAAGCGAGATTGTTTCGGTTTGGGTATGCGTCTCTCACCTGCAGCTTTGCATTCTCTTGAGACCCTACCGCGATCCGAGGATGCTCAGCGGAGTGGGCCCTCCAGAGCACTTGAAGACTCACGGCATCGGGTGTGTGGTGCCCTCGCCCCAGGTGGGCCAAAACCTGCAGGACCGGACAGATTGCCCTCAATGGACTTCCTGCATCGCAGGGTGCACTTTCTAACGACCTCGATGTTTGGACCTTGAATGCTTCTTGTTCAGTGCCTACTTTGTCTTGCTGACATCCTTACAAACTCGGCGTTTCCCAGCTTTGGCCGATAGGCCTGGAGCCAGTTTTGGAAGGGCTTCCGTTGCCGGTGTCGCTTTGCCAAGCCTGCAGGGTGTAGCAAGATTTGCTTCGGCGAGCATAGACCGCTTAGGGAAGTCATGCCATGTCACGAAAGCTGGCGTACGAGCTGGAGTCTCTCTTATTTTAGTAAGTAATCATTTTGTGATTGCTGGCTGCAGTCCGATAAATTTGGCTTCAGACCTGCGCCACCGCCTCCCCTGCTTTTGACCACTCTTCGCTCTGCTCTTTGCTCTGCTCACCACCATTGGTTCCGCTCTTCTCTCTGCTCTTCTCTCCCCCCTTGGGGCCGCTCTTTCCTCCATTCTGTTCCGCGCTCTTAAGACTAACAGCGCCCTGATTGCACCCTGCTGTTTGATGGTGCGCAGTGTTCCTTCAATCGATTTTCGCCCGGATGACAGGGCTGCTCGAGTTGGTCTTCTCATGAAGTTTCTCCCCTGTCAACCCCCTGAAATTTAGAGACTGGGGGACTGTGCTGGTGCTTGTTGTTTTTGAGGTTTGATATCTTGAGCAGGTTGTTGTACGATTGCTTTGCTGAAGAGTGTTTGTAACTGCGATTTCTGAATTACTCAACGAGGTCCTGTACGTTCGATGTGAGTAACATGCTGCTAATTGCTGCTGCTCATTCAAGCCATAGTAGCTGCAAGTATCTTAGCATCTTTCTTCATTCCTGTTTGGCATCAGAATTGAATTAGAATTCAATTAGATTCTAGTAATTATGGAACGACAAGCTTGTTGTTGTGTTTTTCCTATTTTGCTTGCCTACAATCATGTATATACGGCACGTACAGCCGCTTTGAGATCAAATATGCGCATCGCTGCATGGTAGCGGAGCCCGGTTGCATAAGTCCCTTCGGGGATGAATGTCACCAAGGGCAACACCCTCGAGTTCCTCTTTGGGCAGATGTCAAGGACGATGAGGAGCTGATCTGTGGAGGTGTCAAGTCCTGAGGAGAGGTTGGCTTCAGATACCTTGAGAAGTGCCAGCATGTGATGTATGACTCCGGATCAGATGATGTGGTGGACACCAACTTCGGGGTTCCCATCTCGAACAGCAGAGACACCACAACCAACAGAGACTGAGAGAAGGGCGCAGGAGCTGACACATCTTCCAACAGCAGTGCATCATGGGAAAAGGGAGAGATGATGACCATAAGAGGCAGCCCCATGAGGAGACCAGTGATGCAGCTGGACTTTTTTTCCTGAAGAGCGATGGCACAGATGCCACACTGAATGAAGGCGGTGGATTTGAGCACAGCCTTGGTGGTGGCTACATCATGAGTGCCAGCCAACACAGGCATCTAAGGACCACGCTGAGGACAGATGGAGAGCCTGTCATTCTGCAAGATGAAAGAGAGCGGACAAGCCAATGTGCTGGTCCACGCAGGGAAGGCACCCCAAAGCCTTGGAGGAGGCAGCCCAGAAGAATCTGAAGGGTGATGTGTTGACAATCAAGAGTGCTTTGATCTGGAGATCAGTCTATCTCTGACAGTGTGGCCGTGGGCAGTGAGGCATGCAGCTTTCTTGAGGAGCCGGTATGGCATGAATCTCAAACAAGACAGCTTTTGAAGAAACTTTTGGACACTGCTACAACGGCACTATCTGTCCTTTTGGCGAGACCATCCTCTACAAGCAGCCAGTCCATCAGTCAGGCCGAGTGCAAGGTACAGGGCGACCTGAGCTGGAAGGGCATTTTGCTGGGCAAGGACCTGACGAGCGACGAGTTCCTGGCTGGTGACATCACTGGAGTACACATGGTCTGGAGCTGAGGCTGGAAGATCAAGCATGACCGGGATTGGCTGGAAGAGGAAGTCCATCCTGATAGCCCCACACAACCTAATGCCCCAGATGGCCAGAGCACCACCTACACCAATAGCCCAAGGAGCCTGGAGAGGAGGAAAAAGAGGCCAAGAAGCAGAAGGTCGAGAAGAGGCGACAGCAGAGGAGGCTCAAGCAGCAGCAGGGTAAGCCCAAGCAGCAGCACAGGAAATCAACCAGCCCATCAAGCTCAAGACCAGCAAACGACCCAACACAGGCAGCGGTGGAAGAGGCAACGCGACCAAGAAGCTGCGGATTGGCGACCAAGTTTTTGGTGCCTTGTTCACCGGTACCAGTGAGGCATGATCCTGCGCTAGCGGGCGACGAGGCCTATGACCCGGGTAATGAGGGAGAGAGAGTGTCTTCGCAGCCAAGAAGGTGGAGATCGACAAGATGGACACCTTTGACGCCTATGAGGTGGTGGAGTCAGAGGTGATCAAAGGCAAGTTGGTGCTGGACAGCGCATGGGGAATACAAGAAGAACGGCAGCAGGACACGGTGGCAACTACAAGCGCCACAGGGAAGATCATTGACCTGATTGGCGCAAGGTCCGGTTACGTTTTCTTCACATCGGATGCCACCAATGCATTCTGGCAAGCTCCCATCAAAGAGGAGTGCTACATGTACCTGCCAAAGGAGTGGCTGGAGGCAAAGAAAGATGAGCTTTGTGTGGAAGGTCAAGAAGGAGTGGTATGGTGGACAAGTGGCTCCAACCACCAAACGGGTCAAGTGCCATGTTGACCCTCAAGGAGGAGAAGTTCGAAAGGTGTACACGGTGATGTCTATGGCACTGGCCCAGACGAGGTGGTTCAACCTTTCTTCGAGAAGAGCGGCAAGAAGGCTGTGATGAAGAGACGTTCAGCCATCTCAAGAAGGTCAGGACTTACACCAAGAAGGGCGTCGTCCAGATTCCAAGCCTTTGAGGAGGTGCTGATGTTGAGTGGCCTGAGATGCTGCAGACCAGCCAAGACGCCAACCTGGCGATCTACGCCCCAAGAGTCCTGAACCCTACCAAGAACAAGACATGACAAAGCGTTGGGTTGCACAACCGACGTACACGTAGCATGACTTGAGAGTTGTCCTTTTGTGCTGCCGAATTGGCAGAGGGAACTAGGCATGGCATCACAGCAAATGAAGTGTCAGCATCATTTTTGGTCGGATCTTCTCTGTAGCTCCTCCAATGTCAAGCATGCCCGTGCCAGAAAAGCATTGTCGAAACAAGGTCAGCGTGGCAAACCGTCGTCAGTCCTTCTGGAGCTGCCTGACCCAAACCGGCTTGCTTGCTGCGGCCCTGCCTTGCAGAGTTCAAAAAAATATGTCAGACACTGTCTACAGAACTGTGGGAATCCTGATGTATGTGACCCCAGACAGACCAGACATGGCTTTCAGCATCTGGGAGCTTACCAAGGGTCTCCCAACCACGAAGTCAGGTGTTGGGCAGGAACTCAGAGGTGATGGGTGTCTACAGCGACACTGACTGGGCAGCGTGGCGGAAGACACAGAAGTCAGCGGCGTCAGCAATCTTCCAGGTGCATTGCTTGCTACAACAAAACCTCAACATGGTTTGCCTCGAGGCCCTCTTCTACAAGCAGATCCTGGAGTTCATGCGACACCCTGCGCAAGTGAGAGTGTGGATGGATCTGGTTGTGTTTTATAAGAATTCGAGATAAAATAAGTTACTGACATCGAAGTAAACATAGGGCCTCCATTCCAAGCAAGATGTTTTGTGGGATATAAATTGAATCCACGGAAATGCAAACTCTATTCAAATTGGTTTGCAAGTGTTCAATTGCAAGGCCTTCAGTTTAAATGGGATTTCGGATAGATTTCACTTCAACATATCATTTTCATTTCGCTTTAGATAGTACTTCCCCAACTAGTATTTGATGCCAGATGCTAAACCGGATTTGTGATTTTCATATTTTGACTTAGTTTACACGTAAACTCCTCCCCAAGTCTGAATAGGAACGCCTTTCCAAAACTGAATTTGAATGTAAACATAATTAGTTGGAATATCTGAAGGAAAGGCAAGCTGGTTATTTCATATTTCTTCTGAGTAATTCAATTACATTGTTTGCATCATGCTTTGAATAGGAATTCATGATGATTAGATTTTGATCCCGGCTTACATAGAATCTGGTAAGGATAGAGAAGCTGGTTGTTTCCTCTAGTTTGTTTTATAGACTTGATACACTTCGTGGGATACTAATCAGAGTTCTTATTGTGAAATTGATTTGAAATAAGACTAGTAGGACTTCAAAAGTATAATTTCAATTAGAAAAGCATAGAATCTAGTAAGGAGCTGGAAGTTTCTTCCAATTTGCTTGACAGCAAGAACAAACTCGAGAACATAAGTAGCCCCATCATAGACACAAATCCCAGAACAATGAGGAACACCAACAGCACTCAAGAAAAACCAAGACCAAGCAAATAGAGAGAGCCAACAAACAAAATCCTCGAGAAAAACACCAAAAACAATATTGCCAGAACTCTTTGAATATTTGTTGTGTTCCAATGAGTTTTTGGTTTTCCTCGCTGTTGTTTGCTTTTCTCGATGTTGCCGCTGTATTTGTTAGATCAAGTGCAACTGACATGCCTGACAGGAAGACTCAAAACGAGCGAACAGCGCACTACCAGGGTCCCCTGTTCTCACGTTCGTTTGCCTCCCCTGGCCTCCCCCGGTTCGCCCATCGGAAGGATCATCCCTTGTGTGCCGCCGTGCTGCTGGGCCAGAACATGGCGCCGGAGAGTGCGATGGTGCAGAACACTTCGGGCCTCAACGGCCAACTCTTCTGGCAGTCGGAGACTGACAAGCAACGAGAGCAAAAGCTCAGCCCTCAGACGCCGGCGAAGGGTTGACCACACACGACCAACGACATGTGGGAATGAGCTGAAGCGAGTCGGCCCCGGCGGGATTGTCTAGTGTCAAGACTGTCAAAACTCCGGCTTTTTAGAGATGGCAAGGTAGAGCTGAGGGGAGGGCAAGGGCCAAGCAAAAGCATCAGTATGTTTCATTGATGCGGATAGTCAGGCGAGCGGATTGTTGAGAGTAGTAAGACAGCGAAAGTGAACGGTCAACCCTTGAGTCAGCACTTCATTTAAAATCAATGCGTCCGCATCAAGACAAGCCAGGACCAAGACTCAAGCAATAGGGGCGAACGCCGCCTTTCACTATTCGCCACATCCTCAAACGGCACATTGGGCTTTTGTTGGAAGAGGATGAGATTGGCATAGCCAGCTCCTTACACTCCTGAAGCAAGCCCATCGACAAGGTGCCTTTGCTTGCCCGTGGCCAACACCTCTGCCCAACACCACTGCCCAACACCACTGCCCAACACCACTGCCCAACACCACTGCCCAACGCCACTGCCCAACGCCACTGCCCAACATCTACCTTTGTTAAGTTGTTTGTTGGAGGTTAACCCTCTTGCGCGGCCAAGCTTTTGGTCGCGTAGGCTGGGCCATCCCTTGGGCGCTGACATCCAGATCATTTTCCTGAACCGCCTGGATTCCAGCTTGGCGGCCAAGGCAAGCGAAATTGTTGCAAAGGGGACAAATGGAATTGCTTGTAGGAGACGGGATGGTGGGGCCCTCACCCTGGAGTTGCCTGAAGGCATAAACCTTAGCTATAGGCGGGGTGTTGCTACTGGTTCGCAAAGAGTTCTAAACATGTAATGATCGAGCAGAATGCAGCAGATTCGGAGCGCAAGAATGGCCAACGTGCAGGCATAAATTATCCCGTGTTGTAAAACAGGGAGATGTTTGCCAGTCACAGAGGCATTTTATCAAGCAGCCGCATGTTGAGCAAGGACCACGACCATGCTATAAGGCTACGCGACTTATCAGCAATTATGGGTTGCCGACTGGCAATGTTGACTGGCTCCAATGGAGCGGTGTCAACACGTGCTATCCCACACTGACATGGACGGTTCAGCTTTGACAATCCAAGCATTCACCTGATCAACGACAACCCTGGGTAGACGCTCTAGTAGCGCCGGCCAAGTCCGTTGGTGGAAGTTTCAAAAAACGTAAGAACAATAGCTATGTTTCTCTTGGCTTGCTATTTTCTCTTTCTCTCCTTTCTCTTTCTCTTCTCTTTCCTTTTCTCTTTCCTTTTCTCTTTCCTTTTCTCTTTCCTTTACTCTTTCTCTCTTTCTCTTGATCTGTTTCTACCTTTTCCTTTTTTCTTTTCTGCCTGTGTCGGGAAAATCCTTCGCGTACGTCTAATTTTAATTTGGATCTGTTTCTTTATCTTTCTTTGTCTGTGTTTTTCTTTGTCTGTCTCTTCTTCTATCTACCTACCTATCTTCCCATCCATCACTCCATCTAAGTTTCTATTTTATCTATCGATATATCTATGTATCTATATGTATTTCTCTCTCTATCTAGGTATCAAGGTAGAAGACAGAAGAAAGACGATGAAAGAAAGAAGAAAGATAAAGAGAAGGAAGGAGACAGAGACAGGCAAAGAGGAAGAAAGAGAAAAAGAAGGAGAAAACAAAAGAGAAAGAGAAAGATAAACAAGAGGGGGGGAAAAGAGAGACAGACAGACAGAACCAGAGACAGACAGAGACAGACAGAGACAGACAGAGAGAGAGAGAGAGAGAGAGAGAGAGACAGACACTGACACAGAGACAAAACCAACACGCAGACAGGCACAGACAGACACAGAGAGGAGGGGAGGCAGGGGAGGGAGGGGAGGGGGGGGAGGGAGGGGAGGGAGGGGAGGGGAGCGGAGGAGGGGAGGCAGAGACAGCGAGAAAGAGAAACAGAAAGAGAAGGAAGGAGACAGACACAGACGCAGAGAAGGAGAGAGAGACGTGCTCCAAGCTATAGTCCGCCTGTTCTACTGGTATACAAAACGTGCTGCCTAGCAGGGGCCACGTTAAAAGAACAAACACACCATGAAACCAAAAGGTTCCTGCACAGCCGACCCTTTGAGGTTCAGTTCCAAGGGACCGCGTGATATAGCCACAACAGAAGGTTTGGGGGGGTATTTGGGGGGCCTGGTCCGAGAGGTGGTCCTGACTCTGGCCAACTCCCTCTTCGAGAAGTTCACTCCGGACTATCGGTCCGACTTCAAGGCTTGTCGAATGCGTTTCTGGTTTGGCGCGAGCCCAGAGATGAGGACATTCAGGCACTCCAGCAACAAAAGTAAACCACAAGGTGCTTCCTCAGGACGAGAATCATCCCACAGAAGGCTCCGTCAGTTTCCATGTTTTCCTTCATTGCAACCCTAGAAGAATAGAACTGAAAAGAAAGTTTGTGCAGGTCTCAAGGATAAGGTTGTTCCATGATGTTTCGAATAAAATCAACATGGGGCAGCTTTGCTATCAGCGCGACATTCCACAGCTTCAGCGTTAGCAATACCCATGGAGTTCATGGGCAAGCCTTCTTGCATTGCGGACAATTGGCATGAAAACACACACACACACACATTGGTCAACAATTATCCGACTGGCTGGCATTGTCAAAAACACCCACATTGAGCTCCATTCCCGAGCCTTCCCCAGCTTACCATCCCTTCTCAAAAAAAACAAAAAGAGAGAATCACGGGTAGTTTGAGAGGTGCACCATGGTCCCCTATGCACATGCCAGAAGGCTCCAGCAGTCCGTGCCATGTTAGACTTCCAGCGGAGCAGCCAACCCACAATGTAGAGATGCCCGTAACTTGGATTTGGGTTTTGACATAGCCTAATATGCCGACAAGTTGTCTCCGGCGGCCATGCCAGGGCACTGGCATGCAGCTATGTAGTGTCTTGTCATTTGGCAAGGTGACGACCTCGTTGCTCAAGGGCCTGGTGGATCGATTGTTGCCGTCGGAGGCGCTGAGGGATTCCATCAGGAACAGGCCGGAGGGAGTGAGCAAAGAGGAGACAGATTGTAGCCGCCAAGTTGTCCAATTCACTCATGTGTTGCTCTCACAAGATGGCACGATTTGCCAACGCAGCGCTTGTTCTGCCCGACCGCACCTTGAATGAACTTTGTTGTGTCCTTGTCCAACCATTTTTATGTCGGTGGGCCAACCGGCAAGCCGGGGAGAATTTCAAAGCCAGGATCTTCTGCGTGCTCTTTGTTTGCATTGCTTGCGTTGTTGTTTGACTTGTTTATATATGATAGGTTGTGCTTGTGCAAGCCTCAGAACGGGCAACAACACAACAACAACACAACACCACAACACAACACGCATGCAACGACGCAGGCTGTTTAGCCTTACGATGCTGAACAACCACTGCCAGAGCCGGGGCTCGCTGTGGCTGAAGAGCCGCGACCCCCACGAGCTGCCGGCGGTGGACCCCAGATGGCTCTCGCACCCGGAGGACGTGGCGGCCTTCGTGGAGGCCTACCGAAGGATGAGGACCCCAAGAATTGGTTGCGAAATGGTCACTGAAGTCGTTTCAAGTATAAGGACTGAAGTGGTCGCTGAAGGGGTCTTAGAAACGCGGCTGAACACTCTGAGTTTCCGATGCGACTCATTGTTGGCCTTGCTCTTGTTCCGATCCCTCTCAAAGCAAGCGCGCCACAATGATTACCAACCCGACCTGCTGTACATCTAGGGCGCTCAGAGGAATCCATGGATTCTCAAACATGTAGGAAGTCGGCTTGGAGGGTTCCTGCCATTCTCATTCAGCCAGCTGAAGAAGTTTCAAACCACTCAATGTCAAAACTCGGGGCAGGCTGGCTTCCAGCATGGACAATGGGCAGTGAAACATGGGGTCGCAGGAAGATCATGACGCATCCGGCCATGACGAAGCACTTCAGCCCCGAGGGCGTGAAGCCGCTCCCTGAGGGCGACGCCCCCTTCGAGGTGATAGCCAGCTTTGTGCGGGAGATGCGTGGCGGCCATTGGGGGGGTGGGACTCCCGCAGTTTGTTTGTGACGCCCATCTCTATGTCTTTCTTTCTCTCTGTCTCTCCTTCTCTCTTTCTCTCTCCTTCTCTGACTCTCTGACTCTCGAAAGCCAAAGAGAACTGGTTAGGGTCGACCCGACGAAAGTCCGCAGAGGGTTACACGAGCGAACCAGAAGCCCAAAAACGAGTTCAGCCTGCGAAGTTCCGTAAAGGCCTCTGCGAGAGAAGAGGAAAGCGCAAAAAAGAACCAGAGGTTTGTCAAGGTCAACCCCACGCAAAGTCTGCAGAGGGTGCACCATTTGATGATTGGAATCCGGCTGTTGAAAGCCGCTGGTTTTGCAGTTTCAAGTGCCGTTGGCAGTTCCAACTTGCAACTTCAGGCCGGAGGAGAGGCAGCAATGCAAGTCACACAAGTACTTCTATCTCAGAACAGCGAGCAAGAAATCGACAATCACCTAGACCCCTGCAAACATCTTAACATCCTGTGCTACATTTGGCTGTGACCTTAGCCCATGAAATCAATCCTTGGCGTATTCCGCTGATCCTGCGAAAGGGTATTTGAACGGCCAAGTGCCACGCAGCATCGAGGGCGACCTTACACCAAGTCGAAGATCCCCTCTAGGCTTGGGATGAATCTGATAAACCTGCGAGCCCTGGAGTCAGCGGGGATGTGCCCACACGATTTGGACCCTTTGCGGACGGTTTATGTCCAGCCCACTTGGAAGGTTCCAAGCTGTTTTGCTCACATGTCCAGATGATTCTCTCCGATCTGAGGAACTCTCAGACCACCTGGCACTACTCCTGCACTACTCGCATGGGTCCGGTCGGGGACCCCGCGGCAGTGTGCGATCCCAAGGCACGAGTACAAGGACAGAAGTGCTGGAAGTGCCCGAGCAATATGCAGTTGGGATGCTTTTAGCATCCTATTATACATGCCGGCCTGTTGGGACCCAGTGGATGGATGTGCCTCAGTGCTTGTTTGTGAACTTGTTCCGGTTCTGGGGCGTTGATAAGCCTCAACTTTAGACTTGTTCTTCCTTTGTTGCCTTCACCCAGTCATGCACGGGGCCAAAGGACATGAGCTCACCCCATGCAAGCAGCTTCCTGTGTCATCAATCGGCCAAAGGGACCCAGAACCCGCCAGCCCTATTTTTTCATGGAGCTTGGTTTGGGCCAGCAGGGCCCAGGGGCTGATAAATCCCAAGTTCAGACCAGAACAGGCCGTCACATGCGTTCTGACCGCATAGCGTGCAGGAGTTGCCAACCTGCGAGTCGCCGACGCTGGGCTCATGCCCATTGTGGTGAGCGGAAACACCAACGCCGCCTGCATCATGATCGGCGACAAGGCGGGATGCGGGATGCCGGTAGGGCACTTGTTGCCCTGGAAGGAACAGCGAATAATATTGACTTTCACTGGGTCTCCAAATCTCCGAATGCCACAGGTCACTCTTTGCGTGCCTTGCCGGGAACGGATGTGCTTGGGGGTGTGTTGTGAAGGGAGACTGCCCTTTTTGGGGAAAGCCTCATATTTGTAGGTGCCAAGCAACGGTTGCATTGCCACTAACCAACCTGGTCATTTCGATCCTGCAAATTGTGCCATTGCGTTCGGTCTAGAATCCATCCGAATCCACTGCGCATCAACATGCGATGCTGCACCTTTGGGGACAGTCTCAGCATGATTTGGGCTCGTGTGCACTCATGGGCCTCGAAGCCAACCAAGTTCAACCAGGGTCCCGGTACTTGCGATGGCGAAGTGATGAGTCCCCTCAAATGGCTAGCAGGCGACACGGTTCCCACCCAATCGGCCACAAGTTGTACGTGTACGGATCCAAGAAGCCCTTTCCAAAGCTTCATGTTGATTGTTGACATGTTTCGCCAAGACCAGGGGTAAGCACTACTTGCAGTACCTTGAGCCTCAGTGGTTTATCGCAAATCAGAATGTCCTTGATCGCTGCAGTCACAAACCAGCTGCACTGCTGTGGACCACTGGATATTAAAGAATAACACCCAAGGGAGAACATCTCGTACAAGCTGGTTATAATTGTGTTAAGCGGGGGTACTCAGCTGTAAGTGGTGAGAAGCATGTCTCAGCCATGCGACGGCAGTAGGTGACACGCAGGTCTTTGAAGTGTTGTTTCACGTTGGTGTCCATTTCAAGATAGGACCCAAGTAGAATCTAGTGATATCATGTGTTGCCAGACGCACCCAAATGTTAAGGTGGACGTACTCCCCAGACTCACATACCATCGAGCTGTGCCCAGAGGTGGGGCACATGGTGGCGGAGGAGCACCGGGCTGCAGCGAGTGCCAGTGCAGGGGTGCGATCCTCCCTTTGAGGCCCTGGAGAACAGCTTCCAACTCATGAAACTAGAGTGTATCTTCTTTTGCAGTTGAAACTTGGGCTGAAACCACTGGGCTCAACATGGCTGCCAGATTTGATGAGAAATCACGCGAGCGCGAACAGCGTGTCCATTCAGCATAGAGCTGACAACTAGAGAAATGGGAGCGGTATGAGTTTCTTGACAAGCCCAGCCGTTGCAGATTGATGACTGCTGGCCCATTTCAACCTTTGAACTTCTGTGCTGGTCCCTTGACCAGCTTCGAAGCGGCCAGCGCTTGCCAACCATTTGGCATGGCTTATCGCGTCGGTTCCAGATGTTCCGTGTGATGGCGGAAAATCTGCCTGGCGCGATCAGTTTGAGAAACCCCGGAGGCAACACCAGAGGAGTGGGAGGCGGAAGTTTTGCTGGTCCTCTTCCGTGTTTGGTCATGTTATTGTTTGAAGGGCTGCAGATTCCCAGTGGTCGCGCTCTCGGCATTTCTTGGACTCTTCGGAAAGCCACTGAAGTTGAAATGGGGAACCTTCAATCGCTTTCTGTTTTTGGGGGCATGTAGTTTTATCATAACACGTTTCCACGCCACGGCCAATGCGCCGTTTGGCTCAAGCCTTTTCGTTCCGGCAACTCTGCTTGCAATCACGTCGGCGCCTCATCACGGCGACCTGGAAATCTGCAGCAAAAGGAGCTGCGGCCTTTCGTGGTCGGTGGTGGCGTTGCTGGTGGTTGGTCAGGACTTGGGATTGGGAACGGTGCGCATTTGGTTTGCTTTGCTCGCTTCGCTTCGCTGCATTGTTTGCCTGCTTGGTTTGCTGCTTTGTGCTTGCTTTCGGTTGTCTCTGCCCTTGCTGGGTTTCTTTATCTTGTCACAACTGGCACCCTGTTTGGTTCGTGTTTGTGCCGGCCGAGGGCAACCGCTTTGCCCTTGGGACCGGGGGGATAAGGTGGTCTCTTCTTGTTGGTGGGTTAGGGCCTGTTTTATCCATCCCGAAACTCTGTTTCAAACCCTTTCGCAGGTTATCAGCCGTAGGATTCGTCCTCGGTTGGCACCGCGAACCCCTTTTTAACAACCCTGCAGGCATCGTAGGGTAGTGTAAATAGTATGGCGGGAATCACTGAGGATGGACCTCATGTGGTGACCGATGAATGGGTTCTCGGCCAGGCCGGAATCTTGGACGTTGTGAATGACGACCAAGTGCCCGGACAGCCGATGTTTTCCGGTCCTGACTTTTTGTCGGACCACACTTTTTCAGAAGCAATGCCTTCAGGAAGGTCCAGTGCTACTCGCACTGATGACTTATCGTCTAATGCCTCAAGAGCTAATCGCTCTCAGGGTCATGGGGCTAATCGTCCTGACCATGATGATTCCGTCTCAGGACGTGATGATGACGAGCCCGGTATTGCACCTGGAGCTCAATCCTCATCTGTCCCGGAGCTGATGAATATTGGTCAGTCCGAGTTTCGTGACTCTCGAAGTAGCAGTAGACCTGTGCCAACCAGTAGCATAGCTTTTCAAATGCTCGGTAATCCCGAACATGGTACATCCAGTGGAGTTGCATTTGATGTTCATCTGCCGACCGAATCCGGTGGGCTCGATTGGAGAGCCTCATGGCCCAACGACGGAAACATTTTTGGAATGGATTTTGCTGCATGGATGCCAGGGCCACCCGCCCCGTCATCTTTCCCGCAATTCCAAAGCCCAAAACGGGCTGCTGGAAGCGATGAATTCATGCTACCTTTATCGATTGAGAATCTCAATCCTGACGTGGCCAGCCGTAACGTCAGGCCAAGGCCGTCGGTAAACCCGACCATGAGGAACATGTCCCCTCCCCCAGGACTTTCAGGATTTGAGAGCCCTAGGGAGCGTAATATCGTAGATAAATTGGATTTGCATCCCAGTCCTACCCCAAGCAAACGATCAAGGTCAAATTCGACTGGATCGCATAGGGCAAGGGGGATGGATCGGGAAACTGCCCACAGGGGTAACCCCAGTGCGCGGGACTCAGGACGCGGTCGATCAGGTGATCCAGCGTCAATCATTGGTAGAGATCCGCTAAACGCGGACACACTCGTTAACGTGCTTGATGGAATCGAGGCATTCCAGGAGGAATTTAATAGGTCGAGTGGCATGAGCGCACAAGGTGTTCGCCCTACGCCCAACGCGGCTTCCATTTTCGCCCTAGACGACATGGACGGAGCTAATGTTCCGATAGAATCTGAATCCATGATGGCATCAAGTTCTAGTCGCAATCATACCATCAGTAATGCGACTGATATTGAATCGATGTCTGAGTCTAGAGTGTCCAATGCGACCGACTTGAATGACATTGTCATTGCTGACTCGAGACCTGATGTTCCTATGCGAATGGATAGGCCTGTTGTTCCTAAACTGCCCGTGGCCAAAGGCCTGGGCATGACACAACCCTCTGCGGTTCGTGATGCTAGGAGATCTGCTCCGTATCAGAGTCAATCTCCTAATCGGAGTGAGTTCCCACGGCCATCAACGGCCGTCCAGGATGATTTCAGAACTCCTCCGAGATCTAATCCAATCATGGTTGATTTGTCCACTCCTCGAGATCGCGGATCAGGATTTGGTCCTGCGAGTGAGGAGCAACCCAACGAGGTTGCTGATCTTGTAACAGCCCTTGAAAGAGGGAGAGTGGATTCTTCGGTAAGCGCGATCATTCATCGCCTGGTTGTTAAGGTCGAAGACCTTGGTCGTAGGAATGATAGAAGTGATCAATGCATCAAGCAGCTCTCCACTGAGGTTAACTCGTGGAGGGCCAAATACGACCAATGCGTCCATGTGAGTAGCACGTGTACGCAGGCTGCAAACGCGGCCATGCAGCTGTCACAAGGGACTAAGGACATCGTGACCGAGCCTGGCCAACGCGTCAAGATCGTTTCCAATCGCATGATAAGCATAGGCGATGCCCTAAATGAGCGAGCCAGCTATGATGATGTTGCTCGCTCCATCACCCAGGTTCAAACTGTTTTTGAATCTCTTTCTGATCGAGTAACCGGGCTTATAGCTCGTGTTGATATGATCGAGAGATCTCTAGTGGAGAGCCAATCCAACCATCCTGCGATTGGTGGAGTGAACCTCAAAATCGAGGACCTGTCCACTAGGATATGTCAGATTGATCGGATGATGCAAGATGTCGAACAACGCGACCAATAGTAGGGACGGCATAAAGTGGGTTAAAGACCAACTTTATGAGACACAGGCCAACCTTGAGATGAAGTCAAGGGACTGCAAATCCTACACGGACAAGCAAAATACTCATAACATGGCCGTTTCGACTACGCTCAACAGTAAGCTCGAGCAAACTCGAGGTGCTGGGTAATACGGCCCAGAGAATCAGCTCCATCGAGTCAAGGCACTCAAAGCAGGCCTCAAGTAGTGGATTGAACGATCACACAGGAGGAAGGCGAGCCGCATCCCGTGCTCCGGATGAGCGGCCACCTCCACCTGGCCCTCCTGATGGTGATCCTCCACCGCCTCCTCCTCCAGATTGGCAAAGCCCAGGAGGAGGGGGGAAGAAGAGTGCTGCCGGTGGGAACCCTGGCAACCCTGGTAAACCCAGATGTAAATATGTAGGTGATGGGTATAATCATCTCATGGCTGAGTTTCACTGCAAGGGATGCAGAGGTGATATTTGTGAATATTGTTTCTCTTTTAAGGAGAACCTGTGCGAAGTGTGTTCCCGTAACGGACCCCGATGCGGTGTCTGTAGGGAGAGCTCGTTCCTGACCAAGGGAATTGAGTGTCAGTTTTGTAAGACCTACTACTGCACCAGACATTCTGCTGGGCAGGATGACTACAGGAGATTTGGATTTGTCCAGGGTCCCTGTTGTCTTGCGTGCCTTAGGGACGAGACTAGGAGAAGAAGGGATCCCGATGGAAACCGTGTCAGGAATGGATCGCCTGGAGGCGTGCCTGAGACGAACCCGACGCGGTCGTTCTCGCCGCCTCTGCGGCCACCCGTTGACAGATTCCGTGATACCCCAAATGGGGGTCAACCCAATGTGGCTAACCTTCAGAGTCCTCCGAAGGCTACGCAATCCGTGCCCCTGGATAAACGTGAAACCGGATATTATCCAGGATTTGATCCCAACGGTACAAGGCCGAAGGATCCTTCGGGCCTTGAGCCGCCGACCATGCGTGGGCCCGATCCTCCTGACAAGAAATGTCGGATGTGTGATCGGGATATTCCTGATCCCAGCAAAATTGAAGAATGTAGGGTATGCATGAAAAGGGAATGTGAGATTTGCATTCCGAAGGCTACTCGCCTCTGTCCTGTATGTGCACTGTCAATCGGTAGTTCTCAGGTCCCACAGCATCTTTTCGGAAGTGGTGGCGGCGGGTACGGTAGCCATCATGATCCGAACTGTACAGCTGCGACTAAATGCATTTCCATAGACCTCCCGCCAGAGCCCGACGCGGCTGGGCTGAGGGTATGGATAGCCAATATGAAGGAAGCCGTTAGCAATGCCTACAGCTATGATGGACTTTACGTCATCAATTGGCTAACTGAAGTCGAGAAGGCAAAGACCTTTGATGAACTGGATGGGGAATGTAAGTACCACATCCTTGAAGCCAGGTTCAATGCAGCCATTCGGAAGTGCATCAAAACTGTTGCAATTATCGATAAGATTAATCGTCTCACCGAAGCCGCTCAACGCTCCAACAATCGCATCAAGAGTAGGCAGATCCTGTGGCTCTTATACGACCACTTAAGGACTGCGAATATCGGAGAGCAATCGTTCAGGATAATCGAGCTCTCAAACTTGCGATGCAGTGTGTCATCTTTCTATACTGAAGAGGAGCGACTTGAAAGGTTCATCGCGAAATGGGATCACATCCTTGCGGGTCTCGATGAACCGCTGACTGAACAGGTAAAGCGGTCGCTATTCAGTGAAAAGGTTAGACACCTCAACTGTTTGGCTCATGATATCAGGGAATGGGATAGGAACATATCCAACCCTGATGTTTGTAGCTATGAATGGCTTCGTGCTCGTTGCAAGAACGAAATTGACCGTTGGAGGGTTCGTAAGAATCAGGTCAATATGCACAAAGACTTTTATGAGCGATCTCAGTCCAGGGACAGAGCCCAGAAACCTGGTGCTCCTGGTCCTCCCGTTAGGAGACGATCTCCGTTTGGAGATTCCCATAGGCCTATTCGGCCTCCTAGCGATCCGAGAAAGAGGACTGGTAATACCCCTAGTCCTCACCGAAGGGACAGGTACTCTCCCAGGAATCGGGAGCAGGACAAGCGGCGTACGCCTAGCCCTAGGGGCGAGCCCCCGAGGAGGCCCAGATCTACGTCGCCCGGCGCTCCTGCGATTGATGCATGTAGAGACTTCGCGCGTGGATACTGTTCGCGCGGGCAAGAGTGCAA